GCAGATTTTCCTTTTACCTTACCCGAAATTGTTCTGTCCCAAATCCTCTTCCCAGTGATTTGCCCTAAAAAATAGACCCTGATCTGAACCTGTCCTGCATGCCAACACATATGTGCCTGTGCCCACAACATCCTTTGACGCATTGCTTATCCCTGTTTTATAAGACTATTTTGCCACCACGGGAAAAAGCCACACCGGTTACGGGGCACCCGCGGTCTGGGCACTGACGGATCCTACAAGATCTGTCAAGCACAGTGGGCTCAGTGCCTGCAGAAAAAATACCTGAATACAAGTAGGCAGCACCACGGTTGAGCATTAGCGCTCCGTGACCTTAAAGACAAGCTCCGCGAGGGAAGAATCCTGATTTAGTGCTGCACAGCTAACTGGTGGAGCGCTCTGTGCAGAGCGCTTTCCCACACTTGTCCTGCTGGTTTTTTGTTGTGATTATATAACTTTTTCCCAACACAGCTTCTCCAAAATGATCAAAAGGCGGCGGCGGCGGCAAAAGCTTGTTCTGCCACTGAAGCGTATGGGCTGAATACGCCTGCCCTGCCGGCTCGGTGACTGGGCATGCAAGATCAATCACCAGGGTTTTGCTTTGTAGCGCCACGACAATGACTTAGCAGTTGGCCCATCCATGCCGTGTAACTACACTTGGCGTAAATAAGGTGTTGTAAATGTCCTGAAAGGGCCGACCGACAAACTGGCGGCGCAAGCGTATCCGATACGCGCTGGACGTGCTAGAGACGGGGCAGACGTCACGTGCCGTTCTGCCGTGCCGTAGGCCCTGCCCCCCCCCCCCCCCCCCCCCGTCAGCCCTGAGTCAGCCCTGGTGCCGACCCCGCCGCCAGCTCAGCGCAGGCGCCGGCCAGCCGGCCCGCCGCTGCTAGGCAACCGCGCCAAAACAAGCGTGCACGAGGCTAGACGCGAGTCGTCAGTCGCCATAGAGCAAGGTGCGGGCGCCACGCTACAGCACACTCTCCGGAGCGGGAGCCATGTGCGGACGATGTAAGTACCGTCGGTGGCATTGCCAGACCAGCTGTGCCCCGAGGCGTCCCGTAGCGATACAGCGTCAGAGAACGGGCGGTGCGAGTGATGGTGGCGCCACCTGTGCAGCCGGCATCAATGAGGTGAAAGGTAGGTTCCGTGCGTGTGCGTGAGGCCGGCTGCCGCCCCATGGTCTACAGCATGTCATCATCGATCCCGTGCTCTGGCTATGTTTGCGTCCAGACGGCCGTAGCTGCAAGCCTCTGCCGCGTTCCGGTGCAGTGTGCTGGTGAAATTATCGGGAGGCGCGGACGCCGGAGAACCGTTGGAATGTCTGATGCAAATTGGCTTGTCGGCTTACGCGTCACTCAGCGTTGCTGAAAGCAAAAACGTGCGACTTCTTAATCGCGAATGCTGTCTCTCAGCAAAACATTCTTGGTTCTCGGCGGTCACACTTTTCATTGGCAAGTTCCAAGATAATCGCGAAGAAGATGGGCCGAGGGGCTAATTAAGACCGTTTGGAAACAATTTCCGTTGGCTGGCCGGTGGGACGTCACAGTCAGAGTGTCCGACTTCAAAAGTTGGGCACTTGGAAGTCAAAAGTTGCGAACAAATTGCTTCAGAACGTCAATCTTCTTCACTGTTGTGCAGTTCTCCGTGAAGTCAAGTGTGTCACTTCCGCAGGCTATCGCAAAATACCCTGCAGTGAATACGCGGGACAGGTCATCAGCGATAACTTCCCTGAAGGTACATGACATTTGAAGGTACACGCTGCTAGTCTGAAGCATGCGATGGATCATTCACGTCAAGAACGTTTTAAGCGTAAAAAGCTTGCCAAAAACGTGAACATCATCATGCCGCCGAGTTTTGCGGCGGCTTGATTCCGCGGGCGATTTAGGCAATCTGTAAACAGCCCAATGCATTCGCACTCGGCAGTATCGATGGCAGCGAGTTTTCGGCGCTGCTGAGGGCTGACGAAGGCATCAGTGGTCGAAAGCCAGGAGGCGTCGGAATGCGCTGGTTGGAATGCTCTCTGTACGGCATGTTAGGTGACAGTGCGTTAGAGGCTCCCGAGCGGGGTGTCCTTCAGTGAAGTGTACTCAGGCCATGCTTACTGACTTCACTTTCAAACATCACATGATCAACATCCACATATCATGTAACTTCGTATCAGTTGGCAAAGCACAGTTACCAACAACGTCCTCCACTGGCCGTTAAAGTGTCTCTCAACAGCTTCTCGAAGAAGATGCCCAGATGCCCGCTAACGGCAGGATCATGGGCAGATCATTGTGTGTGCAGATGACAGTGCCGACCGCCTGTTGGCGGCGGCGTGGCCCATTCGCGTACGATCACGACCCTCCGCTCTTCTGTTGTGCGAGGTTTGTTGACATACACTCGATTCGGGGAACGACTGGACCCTCCGCAAATGAGCCCGTCGCCACCAACCACGAGCGCATCATCGACACTGCGCTGGAGTCCTGGACAGCGCTCGGCCTAGACGCCATCCAGCCTTGGTCGTGATCAGGTCTGGCTACAACCAGGACTGGAGCACCTCTGCAGGGGTGTAAAGCTACCGATTTACAGGATTGCCATTTTAAACACAGGTGTTAAAAATGGAGGAGGGCTTTGCGAGCTGTCTGCTGAAAAATTTGCGAAAATCGCAAACGAATTACAATAACCATCCCAGACACACAAAGCTTAGTATTGGTCTGTACTCACCAACGCTTGCAGCGTAAGCTTGTATAGAGCAGATATCGGACCATCGACGTTTCGCTGCGTGAGCAAGTTGCGCTGCAAAATGTTGTCAGGCATAGTAGCTTTAACTAGGATGGTTTTGGGATGTGACAAAAACGTACTACAAGCTTCACTGCATCGGGGCTGACAATCACAGATCAGTGGTGACACAGTGCTTTTCCAATGACGCTCAGATCAGTGCTTTTCACATTTTTCTCAGCCAGGCTCACTTCACATACTGAGGCAGTATAAAAGTTCCAACATAACTAGGGTCATTACTTGTAAGAATCGTGGCCGGCTTGAGCACCCTGTGACGAACATGATCGATCTGCCACGCAGCGTCTTAGATCATCGTGTCATTTGAGACCGATGGCTTAGAATGCTCGCAACTCGGTTATGAATCGGGTTCAGTGCGAGACTGTAGGCTAACGTTGGTTGTGCTTGTGTCGTGGGGAGCTCGCTGGCATTGGCAAAGACGTAGCCAATCGTCAGTGTTTTAAGACGCTGTTCATTTCTTCTATGAACCTGTCATTTAAGCGTCCCTGGTAAGAGCGGTTTGAGATGTATTTGTCATTGGTTGGCATTACGGAGCGCGTCGTCGGCTTAAGCCATTTTCCATGTTTTGTCATGCCAACTTCATGACATTCTAGGCCAGTGTGCGAATGCCGGAGGATTTTTCTAGACAACCACAGCCGGTTGGTGGCAGCCATATATGCCAGCCTTTTAAAATGGTGAATGGCCTAGATAAAGTTGACCAATGCTTTCCTCAGCAGTGCAAGCTCGCTCCATCGTGAATGTGGTAGCATTCGACTGCTGTCGAGATGCGAGTTATATTGTCCGGTATCGACAGGCATGAATCATGCCACCCACGCCGACCGAGCCCCAAGAGCACTCCCGGCCTGGCCCGCTAGTGTGGGCCGGGCGGCCGGGCGTGGCACGGGCGATGCCAGGCGGCACACGGACGCCGCAAGGCGTCAACAACTGTCCAATGGCGAAGCACACACAGCAACAGTGATGGTTATCAGAGACTCCACATCCGTCAAATCGTGACAACAAAAGAGGCCCGGATGACCGGCTGGCCGTCCAAGGTGCACAGCAGCTGAGCCCGCTGCGGGTGGTTGATTGTCAAGTCACTCTTGTCGACGGTGATGCGTCCAACCTCAAGTCTGCAGTCCCTCAAGAAAACTTTTGACCGACTTGTCCTTTGTCCTTTGACTAAACCGACTTGTCCATGTGAACGTTGCTTCCTGTGATTCCACAACAAGCATACAGTTCAGGG